CAACAAGATTCTTCGAAATCTTAACACAAAACAGGTGCAATCGCGACAACGACGAAGGATGAAGAAGACAGACGTGAATCTCAACGGGTAGTGAAAATATATCAGTTCTATTATCACCGGCGTTTTATTGACAAAATGATTGACGCGAAAATGTACGCTCACTTTGATGAGAAAAACTCGTCAATGTTGTCATCTATCGGAGTCATCGATGACAAAGGAAGGAGGAGGGGAGCAGAAATCTCACCCCCAGAAAGCTAAAAACTAAAGTGAGAATTTCCCTCTTGTGTATAGACTTTGGCAAAAAAAAAAAAACTGTACGTCACTTTAATAAAAGGTGAACGGAGACATTAAGATGCAAATGTAAAGAAAAATGCAAAGAAAGCGTTCTTCGTTACAATGCTAATTTACATATGTTAATCTCTTGCTTTAATCTCGCTGGTGAAGATTATTCAAATGAAATTCGTCCTCGAACGTGAGTGTGAGAAAAAGACATATATCTTTGGCACAATAAATATGAACGTTACAGTTATCCGCGTGTCGGCCAATGCCATACGATCGTCGCACCAGCCTCTCAATTCTCTCCTCTCCTCGCTCGTTCCACGACACTTGAGATCTTTCGCATTCCTTCACGCTGACACGAAATGATCATATCGATCGAAATTAAAGAGACGAACATAGTATACATACAATCATAATTAATGATATTAGACTTAGCACCTAATGGGGTTATTCGCAGTTTTCGGTTCTTAACTACTCGGAAATTTCGACAACGCAAAGTGAAGTACAGGAGTCCTTTTTGCTTGGCCTAGGAAAACTAAAAAAATCGTCTCGCCGACTCACCGCGCGTTGACTACGAAGAAAATCGGATGATTTGAGAGATTCAGAATGCATTGCACCGACGCTTGCTAAATGAGATCCAGAAAAGATATAGAAAAAAAATTATCAAGATATATAAAAAATATATATATATCTTGCTTTAATGTCACTAATATATACGGTCTTCAATTTCTGTTTACATTACAGAACAACTTAGAATATGTCGAGAAAATCGCTATGATGAATAACTGCTAATCGAAAGCACCCTCGGTGCAATTCACCCTGAAATCGAAATCACGAGACGCTTACGTATACTAGCTTGAACACCGCCTAACTCGTGCTTTATAATAATCGTATTTGACGCTTATCGGTAACCAGTCGCGGTGTACCATCGACATCGGCTTTTATTAACACTGCCCACGTCACGTGATCGTTACCGATCATTGGCAATTGCCGATTGCTAATTTGAAAGTTCCTAACTAACTTTCTGCTCGTGCAGAGGCTTACCTATTTTCTGACACGACATTTCTTTGGAGGCTAAAACGGGAGGATGAGACATATCGTTTTCGCGATTTGCGAGTACCGAATATTGACCCTCAAGTACATACTTTTTTACAAGTACATATATTCTTACATCGCGATTTTTATTCTTATGTTCATTACGTATGAACGTTTACTGAATAACACAAGCGCAATATAATAATTAATTATATATAAACACAATTTTCCTTACAATATTATGATAATATAAATGATGATTATTAATATATTAATTTTTTTCAATCATATATATACTTATTCAAATATTGTATAATTAATTATTTCTAATTAATTTTGCCAAACGATATTCGATTTGTTATTTAATTTATTAATTATCTCGACCAATGCAAAATAAACTTTTTTTTCGCGTATAGGAAATATTTTCCAAGAGTTAAGTTGATTAAAACAAATTATTAAATACAATGTAATCACAATAAAAAATTGATATACAAGAACATATTGTTTAAAAATACTTTACGATACTCACGTGTTTACACTGCTCGTTTTTACATTCGAAATAACTTCACTCTTTAAATCCTTCATTTGTCTTAAATTCAATTAAGTACAGGATCTATTGCCGGCAGGCAATAGGATGTACTTAAGGGTATCAACAATTCGATACGATAATGAATAAACTTATTTACGCTATTCCCATTTAGGGCGTGTAACGATAATGAAGCGATCAAAATCGAAGATTCGTGTAACACGACGCGCTACATCTTTTGTGGTGCTCGTATTTACGGGTTGCCAGCCTAGTCTACAAACTCAGCTTGCAGCGACGCATGCATGCGAGATATTGGAGTACGAATACGCAGGACTACACTATTCGAAAAGCTCAGATATCTTTGGCAGTGTGGAAAAATCGAGCTTTAATGACTGAATGTCCACTAGAGTCTCTGTCTCTGTGATCACGTATATAGGATTTAAATTTTTTACACTTTTGATTCGTAACACTGGATCGTTAGATTTTATCTTTTACGACAACTTGAGAATTTTGAGTGAAATTTTAATACAACCTAATGGTCTCGATAGAATGTCTCCAAATTCCGTCTAGCTGTTCTACAAAATATTCCGCCTCGTGTTTCTATCTCGAGACCTCGAAGGACCAGGCTGCAACTACGAGCAAGAATAAGCCTCATCATGTGCCCGGTCGTTTTTTTTTTTCGATATAAAATTCGTTATATCTAATTAAGTGTGTCATGGTTGACCGCAGTCTATACGTCGAACACGCGAATTCGCGCATGTCCGAGATTCACGTAGCGATTTTGATAAGAAAGAAAATTCGTCGCTCGGTAGTAACACCGCAAAGTCGCTTATCGCGAAGGAACGCAAAAAAAAAGCGTTTCCTCCACATATATTAGCTTAGTGCGCGACCGATCGTTCGACGAAATCGCACTTCGTGGCGATTTCGAAGGCGACTCGTCGATTCTGCGGAGCGCTCGTGCAGACGTTACGTGGCGACAAAGCGACTTATTGTCGGTTCGATAAAGAATCACTTCACAGAAACTCGTCGTCTATTTCTAAGAATGATTCTCGAACTAGCTTTGAGATAATCTGAATAGCGCAAAAATCCACAAATGTCTTCTAGACGTCTGAAAACAGCGTCTTTTAAGGAACATTTTTAAGGATCAGCGCGTCCTTTAATCTAACAGATTTGTAAAAGATTAGCACGCCTTTTAGACGTCTAATGGAAGGTCTAAAAGATTGGGTCTCCTTCTGATATCTTTACGACGTCCTTCAGATGCACGTATCATCTGAAAGGTATGTTGAATTCTTTGTTTGTTTGGTTTAATAATCAAGTATCGCTATTAAATTTAAATTCTAGTTTCGTTCCGAGTTTTGATTTTAATCCTTAACTGGAGAGGATTCGGGAAGATTATCAGATATAATCTGCTATATAAAACTTATACATGAATTATAAGTTATTAATTGACTTATAAATTATTTGGAATTTTTAATTCAGATTAAAAATTCAAGCATTTGTCTCTCTTTCAAGAATTTAACTATTCTATTAATCGCTACTTTTTAAATCAATTTTTCAGCTGATATATAATCAGCAAAAACCATATGGTTAGTTAAGGATTGATTAATCAGCTCGCGTATTGTGTTGCCGACCCGCGAACGCTTCGTTCAACGCTGAAATTAGGAGTAACGAGACTGGATCAGCGCGAGCACGTTGAATTCGTAATCGGCGATTCCTCGATTTTTATGAAGTTTATTATAGAAATGTAACTATGTATCATATTAAATCGAAGAAGCCGAGCAAATCCCAGTTCAGTCCTTACGATTCGAAGGAGAGAGGAGTTACGTCGGACTCCTCATCTGTCGCTGTCTCGGGGCGCATCCCGAGTGCGTTTCGAGCACATCCGTCGCTGTCTCACCTCGCTCGCGGCTCATCCTCACCTCTTTCCCTTCTCCCCGCACGGGAGAGAAACGGACTCCGGACTCTCTCGTCAGGCGGTCTCACGAATTAGATAGTCTGGCGCTAAGCAGGCACGTGGTTCGGCACGCTCGAGGAGGTTTGCAGGGGCGAGCGCGTCTGGTGGAACCTCAGCAGCTCGGACACGGTGACCGCGACACGTACGACCCCGCGTCCTCCTTCCAGGACGTCGCTGGCGCAGCATACAAGATTCTGAAAAATTAGCAGGAAGCACGTACGTGTCTTTAGCACCTCTGTTTTCCTCTCGCGCAAACGTTTTCATCCGTCTCGAATAAAAATGCGCGATTAATTTAAATCATAATCGAAAAACGATATGACGAAAATATATCTAAAAATTAAAGAAATGTTTATCTTTTTATATATCTAAATTCTAAGAGATACATAAAACAACCTTAGAATTATTCTTTTTAAGTAGCTTTACGATATGCTTTTAGACAACTGTATTGTATCGAAATATTTTAAGCAATAATGAGAAAGAAATATGTTTATCTCAATTAAATATACGTATCACGAATAAAAATGTAGAATATCACGAATTTTTTTACTTAGTATAAATCTTGAAAGTATCTTATCAGACGTCTAGGCGAAGCCAGACAATAAAACTCGAACTTTTACTCAAGTTCGAATAATATGCGAATACATAAATGTACGAATCAAGATGTAAATGAATCTTTCATGAAATAGAGATAAAGACATGGATAATATCAGAACACACTGAAAAAGAAGCAAGTTTGAACTCGGTTAGGAAATACACTATATTCATTATAGGTATTTCTGTCCAAAGGTATGCAAAGCTTTTTAAAGATAATGAGAAAGATAAAAATAATAATAGTTTAAAGTACTAATAATAGATACTAACAGATATTGACTATTCACTTTAAGGCTCTTCGCTATGATAAAGTGAACGTTATCGTTCACGATAACGGCATAACGTTAAAATGTATCAAGCACGGAGAAAAACCCAAATGTATCAAAAACGAAGTAAACCTGTTAGCCCTTTTAAAAAGAATATCCGTGAAAGCCTTAAGAATGTAATAGTTTAAAATACTTAAATATGTTAAATTTTAAAGTAAAAATAATTTTGCGAAAATTCATGCAAAGCGTCGGTTTTGCAAAAAAAATATACATATAGCGGAGTAAAGAAATGAATATCGAGAGGTCGCAATTTTTTCATATTCCATTACTGAATATATAAACGTAGAAATTTAAGAAAAGGATATTTTATTATAAATGGCTATAGTATTACAATCATGTTTTTTACCCATACAATCAACGTTACAGAGTATACCTCAAAGGAGAAAAACAAGGTCAATGATATCGCTGCGGTGTCCGAGCGGCGAGACAACTAAAGAAATTCAGTTCTTGATCCATCGATTCGACGAAGGAATCGAGGGAGAGATGCGATGATTGTCCCTTCGCATTTACGCGTCCCGCCGCTGGGACCGCTCTTTCTCTCTCTAATAACGAAGCGTCAGGGATGGCGGACGAGTATCGTATATAACACGGTTTATAAATAAATTAAATATGAAAGACAGGAAAAACGAAACACACTTTGCGAAAGACTTGCGAGATACGATATCTGCAGATACGTCGCGGTGGCAGGCTCGATCGTAATCGTTGAACGGCGATGCTTCGGATCGAATCGGGTCGAATAATTGCACTCGTTGAAATTAGGCAGCATTGGGCGAATAAACGCACGTATTTCCTGAGTACGGTAAGTATGATATTTCACTTAAAAATGCGATTCACTCTCGAATCGTCATTGGATTGTCGTTTACTATTATTCGTCCTACAATACAGCAAGAGTAAATTTATAATCAAAAATTTGTGTATTAATTCGAAACCAGTCATTAAGTAATAATTATCGATTAGTTATTTAAATTTCCAAATTAATAATTCATTAAATTAACAAAATATATCCCATTTATATTTTATATATAAATATACAATTATTCCAAATTTCGTCCTTAATAGGACGAAATCGAAAAGGTCAAAAAGTTTACGAGAAAAATGAGCGGACGTATTTAAAATAAGATTTGCGATAATTTTCTTCAGAATAATCTTCGCAAATATCTAATACTTTTATGAGAAATGTTTTTTTTTCTCTTGTAATCAATAAACGATAATGAACGATTTCTAAATGTGACGGAAATTAAACCCGATTTGATCGAAACGACAAATAAATGCATTGTGCGTATATGCGATTTTTTCTAAAATCGATTAATGCTGAACGCTTCATTCCACGCGAAAATCGAGCTGGAACGAGCCGATCGTGCTGGGCTCGTCGATCCTTAATTCCGCTTAGGCCACATATCTATTCAGAAAGAAATTATTGTCTCAAGCTCACAATCGGTGAGCAGGTACGATCGATCGTGCAAGTACAAAGCCGCGGAATAAATATAGATATGTATATAAATAGACAAAGAGAAGCTTTAAAAACTTACGAAAACAACAACGGACGAAAGTACACCAAGCACCAAGTGGATTTATCGAGCTAGCGAATAATTTAATTGGCTTACGTACGTTAACGTTAACGTAAAAAAAAAGAAAAAAAAGAAAGAAAAAAGATCAGAAACGACGTAAAAGAACTAGCTTCAACGAACTATATATCTGTTTTCATATATAATATATCTATCTCTATATATATATTTCTGCATATATATAAGCTTTCTCTCTTCGCGTACTTTACAAAAATTATACAATTACATAAAGCTAAACGCAAACGGAATGATTTTTCCCCCCTTCTTAAGTAACTCTCTTTCCTCTTCGTTTTGTGAATATGTTTATAATAACGATGTAGCCTCTTGCGAAAGCGAAAGCTATTGGTGAAATTTCAATGCTACGATCTACGAGATCGACTAGTACGACTGGATCTAATTGAAGTTCGATACAGATTTTTTTTTGCTCCACATATAAAACGTTGAATTTAATCTAACGATCAATTTTTAACTGACCACTCTCAATAATTTCTATAAATAACTAACTAATAACATCATTACAAAATCATTGTGCCGGCCCGTTTTTGAAAATTCGAAGATTCGGGCAATCATGTAGATCAATCGCGGATCGTTGTGTTAAGCAACTGACGATACAAAAATGTTATTATGCGCTAAATTCGAATCCAGTCTTAAAAGTTGAAAATAATTATATCCAATACCTCCCATTCCAATTCTAATGAGAATAATACTGACGTGACGTGGCCGTCGTGACCATTCGTATTCGCGTCCCCGCGGAGGATCATTAAGCACCCGTCGTCGTAATGATCGATGATTAAACGTAATGGAATATATCCGGATGATGACTTGTCATCGTTCGGCCGTTCGTTCGTTATTCCGTAATGGACGATTCGCTCGTTGGGATGTAAGCGCGGAAGTTATTAGCGGACCGCCTAATTATACGCGTTTAAGATTCGGAACGCCCGGAGATGATAATTTGTCCACTGACGGCGCAATTTAACTTACGGTCGACAATTGCAGTTCAAGGCTTCTGACATTCTCATCATTTTTTGTTTTAACGAGATTACTACAGATACTATTGTTAATTGTTGTTTGACACGCGTATCGTTATTTTTATAATACTATTAGATCAACGTGTGTGGATCATTTTATTTTTTACAGATAAATGTAAAAGAGAAAACAAACTCCTTTCTTTAATTATTAATGTTCAATAAATAAATGCAGCGAAATAGTATTTAAACGAGTAAGGCTAACAATAAGAAAGGAGCCGTTTAAATAATTAATTATATTTTGTGTAAATAAATTAACTGCAAAATAGAAATAATGCTAATAAAATATAAACTGAGAAAGCTTGTAGAAAATAAACGTCGGCCGTTCCAAACAACATTGCTCTAAACTGATTAAACTGGTTATTGCGTTCAGTCTGAGTAACAGCTGCGAAATAAAATTGTTGCAAATGAAACAAGCAGAAAGTCAACAGCAAGCTTGCTGCGATCGCAGAGAAAGAAATGAAGTGCAAGAGGCGAAAATAATCTGACTAGAACGGAGATAGTTTCGACTTATAGCTAATAGCGATACTATTGTAGACTAGAAAGTGCAAAACCCACTCGACTGCAAACGCGAAAATGCAATGCCATTTATGCGTATACGGGCGCCCGTAAACTGTGCATCTCCCGGCAAGATTCGCAGACTGAATCCCGAGTAGTCGCAAGAAATCAGTGGAAGATACGGCTCGCCCTAGCAACCCCCTTAAAAAAAAAAAGATACACTGGCATGCTGCGTACAATAATGCGCGTGTCGACTCGCGACGATACACGTATAAATATTATGCTTGTATGATAGTCTCTCTCTCGAAGTAGTCGCCCGTTATAAAGGCCCACTTACGAAACACATTAAAAAAATCCTACGTTTTTTTTTTACGAAGAACCTTTGAAAATTCCAGTTATCGAAAGTTTCCAGAACGCAAGCGTTCCGGTACTCCCGGTAACGATTAGCGTAAGTAACTTAATTCACGTTAGGATGATCTTGGATCTTGTCGGAAAAACGAAGCAATGTCGCGTTCGATGGAACTTGAAAAATTTGGCACTGTCTTAAGTACGGTGGCGATTAGTATCAAAATCATTGTCTGAGAAGCCCGTTGTTTGTCAATCATGTGTGATGTAATATTGTATCTGGTTTTTTTCCCCCGACAGAGATCCTATCTTATGCAAATCTGAAGATTTGTTCTCTTAACATTAAAGTATAAGTTATACGCTTACATATTATAGACGATATATATTATGCCCTCTATGTTCCTATCGAGTTTTTATGAAAATAAATTGGCAGGTAGCAGGCACCATGTCTCTACCGTCGTACATCGTAGTCACTTTGATCTCAATTGTTTGCTGTTTCGTACTAGCTGTTTCTATTTCAAAAGATAACTCTGAGCTCAGAGTTTAAGTCGATATAATGTTAGAAAGTTGAAGTGTGTCAATACAATTTTTGTCAGTTCAAATTTCGATACAATTAGAATCAGATCGAATAATTACGCTCTATTAATTAGTATAGTATGATCTTTACGTTTCACCGTGATAATGAAATCTCGGTGGAGAATACACTTTTGATATTCTTATATTCCAAAATTCATATTCCTTTCAAAAGGAAATTTCCATTAAAACTCGAGCAAAGTTAACGCTGAGATCAAAGTAACGTTAATCTAAAATACAGTATCTTTTTTTTTTAGACTACGACCGATACTTCGTCGATTAAACAGCTTGGTCGACAAAATGTCGAAGAGCGTTCTTCATCTTGTTTCTTCTCTTTCGCAACGGAAACGTTATTCCTTGTGCCGATACTTGTGATAACCGATAAAGAAGACGATCGATCTACTTAGGAAATTACTGAATAAGGAAAGCGAAACATCGCTTCTAACTTATAACGGGATGAATATAAATGTCGCCGTATCATATCTTTAAACGCCTCCGTCAGACCTTACATTACCAAAATAGAAAATCCTCGAACTGAAAGAGATCCCCTTAGCACCTTTTCGTGAATCCTCGTAACACTCGCGCAGGCTACCTATCACAGACCCACCAATCCTGAAAGAGTCTCAGGCGGTTCATTGGTCGAATCTTAAAAAAATATTGCCATCATCATAGGCATCGTAGCTATCCTTCCGTTCGCTCTTTCTTCTCTTCCTGAGGGACTGGTTCGCGGACCCAGAGACGCAGAGAGTGATGTCGCAATACCAGTAAGTAATTGAGATTCTGAGGCTTTCATCGTATACAAGGCAAAATACTTCCCGAGAATTCGGAAAGTCAAACGGGATATACACGACTTACACAATTCTTGAACTAGTATTGCACATCAACTCTCGATTTCGATCATTCTCCTTTTTTTTCTCTCTCTTTTTATCAAAATATTCATTTCATCGGTCTAGCCGACGACAGCCGACTTGCACGAAGCGGCGATATAATAACTGGTTCATTCTGGTAAGGTACATTCACAGATAACTTAAACGTGATATGCGAGCGCGCCTTCCAACTTTGATTGCGCTCTTTGATTTTACGTTAATTCGCGGTATAAGCTCGGAGAAGACGAACGAACACGATAGAATAAAATAAAACTTCAGCGCGTTTTTGCAGGGAACATTATCACCTGAACTTTCGTTGATATTCCCGCTTGCAATTGTCGATGAAGGCTTCTTCAGAAAAAAAAAAGATACAGACTTACATAATACTTAGCCGACTAAACGTTTCATCAAGCTGCCTATTAACACTTAAAAACTACCTACAAAAATTCTCCGCTGACCGCAAGATTCCCCCGCTCGCGTGTTCGAGCGAGGAAACTTTACGCGAGCGCAGGTCGAAAAAAGCGAACAATTTTGTTAAAGCTACTATCGTGATGAATAGATTCTCGAAAGCTAAGTACTCTGCCCCTCGTGAGGACTAGCGGCGATTTCATATGCGGCAAAAGATATGTGTTCTGGTATTCCTTAAAGCGTCTAGCTGCGACAACGGCAAAACCGTCCTTCAATCTGCACCCTCTTCGAAAGACACTTTAAAAAATTACAGAGTACTTCGATGTCGACGACCCTGTAGTGCTATGCAAAACATTTAGACATTTATAGTTTGTCTTCTTAGAAGAGAAACGCGCCACATCTATCGAATATTAAGCACATTTTTTTTTCTTCGTTCAAAGCGATTTGCTGAACATCATTTGGGAAATCTTCGACATCGAAGTCGGATCCAACACGACACTTTCTTGGGCCTCAACAAACATAAGTACAAATAAAGTCGACGAAAATAATCGAATCACGAATATGTAGCCCTAAAAATATCAATTTGCAAAACGAACATTGAAAGTGTCGCGTGTACCGTTGTTCGAACGAGACGGTAATTCTCTTCGTATCAAAAACGAAATTCCAGTAGTCAAAAAGGAGACCAGAGGATACTCTTGAGAATCACCGTCTCGAGTCGCCTTATCGTAGCTTCCGTCCTGGCACTCTTTTTTTTTCCATTTCTTAATTCGTCGATCCTTCATTTGGCAAGCACACTGGCGGCTTCCCGTTTTCAACGCTGTCTCACTAATCGGGGATCGGGAAGAGATAGAGTAGAACCAGGGCGGATAGGAATGTCGCAAAAAGCATCGCGGACAGGACGCGGTCCTGAATCGTACGAAGCGAATCTGCGGCCGGCTCTTCGGTGCCACTCTCCCCCGCATCGCGAGCAAGGAGAAGAGCGGTGACGAGACGCGCCAGAGCCTCCAGCCCGTACGCGTCCATGTAACCCACGTCCATGATTGCGTCCGCGTCCAATAACACCTCCTGCAACACCAACAACGATACTACTCAGTCCCAGTTTTTAACTTTACCGCACTGCGAGAACATTTCTCAGGCGTGGCCTTAAAACGCATATGTATCTCTGTCCTCTCCGAGGAAAGCCCTACTTTTGTATCAATGAGAAAAGAAGCGTTCCTCGGGGGATAGCCGTTTCTATCACACTCTGGCCTATCACCGTGTAGCAGAAGGAAATCGTTTGTCTCCGCGAAAGAACTTTCGATAGAGTTGATTTGATTTTGGTTCTCTTTATTTGGAGCTTTCTTTGTAACAATGCTTGTAGTTAAAGTCGACTGCAATCAATTTATTCGTTTATCCCTTAGTGATTTGTATCAAAAGTTCCATCTAGAAAACAATCGAGGGACGTCGCGAGGGAGAATGGACGGGAAAAAGCAAACAGTAATACGGTTAGTATTTTATATGATGATCGGTGAAGAATTATTCGGATCAATTTGTGCAGTTTAGGATAGTTAGTCCGTGGATGTTAATCGATGAGATATTCGGATGACGGCAGGAAAGGTGAGAGCCCGAAGTACAGACTGTGTTCCCCGAAGAAGCAACACAAAAGCAAACTGGAATCTATGAGGCACATGCAACTAAAGCTTCTTCGCTAGTTCATTTCTCTTCTTTCCTTCACTTTATCTTTTTATTACGCCCGTAATACATCTTCGTAAAATCGGTATGCAACTCGATCGAAAATCAGATAAAAATCGGGGACTGACTAGTAGTCGTTGAAAGTGTCATCGAGAAGTGACGGCGAGATTGCCGAAGCGTTAGTCACGATGTACACAGACGGTTACGAATAATGTGCGATAAATTTTTCCGTCCGACCGTTCACCAAGCGGATTCGACAGATCTGGGTCTAAGGACACCACGCTCGATGAGAGCATCCGGCGATTGGTGCTTCGTAAAGAGTAAATTTTCGCACTGAGTCTCGTAACCAGTTTTTTCTACATTCTACTCTTCGACGAAGCACGCACGGTCGGTCATACAGCATAATTACTATCGTGATTTCTCTCGCCACATCACCATATTTGTTAAAGAAAAAAAAAAAAAAGAAACATTGGATTAATTCGTTCGGCATGGAAGTATCCCACCGTATCAACGTGCTCCATGATGTTGTACACTATGTGATGACAGTGTGTCTCATGCATGTGTAGTGTACCCTGAGCGAAAGAGAAGCACAAACTTCTTCGAAACTAGTTAACAGGATTAATAATGTTTCCTTACCTCATCAACGCCGATCTTCCGACACGCCTCGAGGAAATTGTCAACGTTACGCCTGCATCGTGCCATTGTCAGCTTAGGCTACAAGAAAAGATTGAGATCAGTCTACCGGCATACGAAAATGTATTTACAAAAAATGGCGAGAAAAGTACTTACTACAGCGGGAGAAGGAACATGTATACTAGCGACCGATCGCGGTCTAACGTGATTCGCCAGGTGACAGAGAACAACGCCGTCCGTTAACGCTGGTGCGAGGTCCTCCGGTAATGCCATCTTCAATCTCGTCTCTATGTGCTATTAAATAAATATATATTCTTGATTATATTGCCTAGAGATACATAATTATACATTATATCGCTTTTTGATATAATTACTCACACTTCGTAATTGTTCGATGAGATCAGCCTCTTCTTTGGCACGTTCGAACTCTCTCCTCATAGTAAAGGAATACTTTTCAGGCACGTTACTGTTCCATGTGACGGATCGCGGGGATTTCGGACTGCCGCCGTTTCTACTTGGACTGTTGTTGCCTAACAAACATGCGCACACTATGAGCATATTGCGTAGTCAAAGTTCTCTGTTATACTGCGTGAAATGTATAAGAGAAATTTTTTTTTGTAAAATATAAAATTGCTCTTATACATTAACTGCGAATTGCACTTATTTACAAGCAAATGTAAGTTGGATTTTATTTAAATGATTACCTTCGACGTAACCAACAGCGGTTTTTACCAATCTGGGCGCGTGCGCTGGACTCGTGTTCGTGGACAGGATGCTACTCGAAGTTTTGATCGGCGAGCTAGGCTTTTTGTAAGGTTGCTCGAGATATTTTCCGTTCTTGTACTCGCAATTATTACCGTTGATGATCGGCGTGGTTTGGTAGTTTATTCGCGACGGGGTAACCTTCTGCACGGGCCTCTTCAACGCGTTGTCCTCGTTGAAAATTTGCTTGCCGGTCAGAGCAATCGTTTCCTTATTGTTGCCCATGTCAGTCTCGTTTTGCGTCTCGTTGCCTGGAGGCGTCACTTGCTCGCGAGGTCTGTACACGCTTAGACCTTCGTTAGCTCTCTGCTGCTTCAGAGCTTCTTTATACTCCCTGAGAATAAAGTAACTTATAGTATCAAAGCGTACACTGTCGGGCTGCGTAAGAATATGATATGATAACTTTCACGATTATGTTATCTGATGATCCTTGCGAGTATGAATGTTCAAAGCAAGACAACTAGATATAAAATATCGAAAGCATTATTACAATCTCACAACGTATTAATCCTCCAACTTGCGATAGCTTAGAATAAAAATAAATAATTTTTATTGACTAGATATCACTTCTAGTTCCTCAAGAGAGCGATTTATCATATCATAATTTATGATCTGATCTCTACATGTATTAATCGCATATGCATTTTATATAGCACAGATTTTATATAATGTAGATGTTCTCTTGAAAAATATTCATATTCTTTAATAAATATATAAATATCTTTAATAAATATTTACAATCGAATGCCCATTCATTTGAAGAGGATTAATACGGTCACTCATAATTGCTCAACGCATATGATACGTCACAGCATTACCAGGCGCGCCTACCAGACACACGGATGGGTAAATGATAGTAACGCAAACGTGATAACATGAGATAAATTCGGACGGACAGGGGCTTTTGTTGGTACGGTCCAAAGCGAAGTTACCTGTACGTCTGTATATGATTGAACGGCCTCTTATCGTCGCCGTTCACCAACGCAGCGGGACCCGTTGCACTTTGGAGCGGGTGTACCGATTGCTGCGCGGACGATAACTGCTGCGACTGACTCGTCAAATGCGTGGACTCCAGATGGCTGTAAGAATGGATTTGCCAGCCACGATAATGCACATGCACGCATGCAAAAGTATAATACGTATATGTATATATATATGTAAACTACCGTGACAATTCGTATCACAATATCAATTTGCAAACACCGAGGGACGCGCTCGTTCGTTTCGAGGGAAAGCACGCGGATCGGGTAATTGACCCATTGATCATCGTAGCGAGAGATTTCACTCACCCCGGTGGCGTAATCGATGTGTGATGAAGGCCGGAGATCATCGGTCTCCTAATGTCCGCCCCATTCTCCGAGGTGCTCCTCTCCAATCTCCTCTTTTCCAGTTGATCGTGCAGTATCATCGCCTGCAAGAGGTTTTCGCGTGAGAGCGTAAACTATAATTTTTAACATCTTCGTAAAAGACATCTTGATTTAATAAAACAGAGATATCTTTAAGCTTAACGTTAATTTAACTTCTTTTTATTCCTTTCTTAATCTTGGAATTTAAACTCTCCATCTTTGGAGATAACGAATAATGTTCTCAATTAGCTCTTAACTAAACTGCTATGTTTTGTCAGTCATATTAATTATACATTTCAAATTAAATTCTTATTAAAGAAAGATTAGCTTTCAATACGAGAGAACAGTAGACATGAGAAAGCACGCGATTTCGTCGTACATTAAATGTACACGAATGCTCACCATTGATGCAGCATGCATCCGTAATTTTGAAATGTCGGTAATACGACGTTTTATTGGGTCAAGGCTTTACAATAAGATTTGAGCGACAGCCAACAACGGCTTGTCGAGACTATCATTATCGTAGCTCGACTTGAGAGTCTCTATTCGACAGCTAAATATAGCGGCCATGTCATCCTTTAAATTCCGTCGTAAGGCTATTGCTTAAACACTTACTTCAAACATAGAAACCTCTTGATAACAAGAGCAGATATATCTTTGCCTAATCAATTATCAGAGTTATTATCGAGTCCTATACTAACTATGCTTCTATCTACGTATATAAAAACGTGTTTTCTTTATCTTGACTTTCTTTATCTTGAGTTTTTTTGTACAAAGTTTCTAATTTTAAATCATTAGTATAAATAAAATCGGCAAATGTAGCAATCGACATTTTCATTTGCTGAGTGTAAGAAATAGAGAAGAGATTAAAATTATTTCTATACTGAAAAAAACGGCAATATTATCATTAAAATTTTTAAAATGTACTTTAATATTTTTCTTAATTTAAACGATCTTTTCCCTAAGTAATCAGAAAGGTGATCACTAATCCGTTTTTGCGGTCTAGCCTACCTTGCCCAACTCATCCTCCAGGGACGTGTGCTCCCCGGGTGAAATCGTGCTGGGCGTCGACGTGCCGCTACAGGATCCGTTCACGCCTACCTCGTGCGGTAGCGTTATCGAGAGCGGTGAGCATTCCTGCCGCCATAAACCACGAACTTCGCCGTCATGTACCTGCACGCAAACGGTGGCCAATAGGAGGCGTGTAAAATTATGAGTTGTGTGCATTTTGCGCACTAATAGAATTTTATTCGTGCACTTTATACAATAATTTTAATTAAAGATCAAACGCGCAATCACTCGCCTTTCTCAGACAAAACTTTCTTTTCATACGATAATGTACAGAAGTACAATTTATATACAATTTATACACAAAGATGGCATAAAAACTTATAAAAAAATGTGTATATAATAACTTTTCTAAAACAGTCCTAAGAGAAGAGGTCATATGAATAAAAGAACTAAAAACCTCTAAAAAAAAAAGAAGCGTCTAATTGTAAGAAGTAAAAGCATTTATTCTAAAGCAAAAACATGAAGCAAAATTATATCCCACAGTATTTATGCTACTGTTATAAAATATTTTAATAGACACATCTACCATCTATCTACAAATATCCCTTTATTTACGCAAATAAATACTTCAACTACATGCATAAGAAAATGCTGTAATATCCTCATTTATCTCTTCCAGCATTTTCTTCGTTGAAAAAAAAGCAGAGTTATTTGCTTCGCTTTACTCGTACATAATTCAATATAATCAATTTATATCTTTCAAAGTTGCCTCTGAAGGAGAAAAAGCGAAAGCGTTTGTGCTTATTCATATGACCGATTATCCACATTGGATCTACGGCTCAGAGATCCACGGGCAATTCGGCGGCGGGCTCGCCGAATAGCTTCGCGAGAAGGTAGGTGTAGAGCGTGTGCAGAAGATGTAGCGATAGCGGAAAGGCCACGAGAGCGACGGTGAAACTAACCGCGCTGTGGATTTCCTGGGACCAACGCTTGTCGACACCGTCGCTGGTGCTGTAACCGCTGTCGACGTTGTGCCGCCGGTGTGACCTCGTGTCCAGCGTCGCGTGACCCCTCGCGTCCAGAGGTGCCCGCCGCGTTCGACCGCCCCTGGCCCTCTCGTGTTTCGCTGCCTGCCTCTCCAAGTACTTGAAAATGTGCGTTCGCCCGCGAATGCATAGCTGAAACCGGCAGTGAGAACGGATCGTCTTAGAGGATGAGCATCAACGATGAGAAAAAGACGTCTCGCGTTTTCTTCGTTTTGTTGCCTCCCGGCATATAGAATGATATTGAATGTTCTCGAGTAGCGGGGTATTGATTCATGAATTCAAATAAAGTCTCGAATAAAGAACGAAGCGAAAGGCACCGGTTTCGCAATCAATTCCGTAGGCAGACTGCACGACTGTGAAACGGCAGTTCGACGGATGAAGTAATGTCGCGTAGTTTTATTATTAAAAAATTCGCCGATGGAAAAGCGTAGGAGTACGTATCGCGGTAAGGAGATTTGTGCGCTTGAACGAAAACGGACGAATCATGAATGCTAATGCTCACCGAGGCAGGCGGCGAGGTCAACGGATTGTCGGACAGTTTGAAATCCACCAAACTCTTCATCTTCCTCATCTCGTTTGGAAGCACAGATATTCGATTGCCGCTAATATCCAGCTTCACGAGCCTCAGGTACGTCAGTTCTACATAAAAATGTGATTTAAAACTCTACTTTCTCGCACTTGATCATCGATCTTGAGATACTCTCTTGAGATAATCTCTTTGTCAGAATAATCGTAACTAATATTTTTTACATTTCCTTTAAATATTTTTTCATTTAGAATAAATTTTTCTATTTTGCTTAACAAACAAATAAAAACGAATTTACTTATAGACATAATTAATTTACAAAGGCTGATTAATTAACTCTCCAGCGAGCGCTGACTTTGTTAGAACTAATTTATTAAAAGTTGTTTCTCAATTTTCAACAAATTTTTTATTCAATTACTTCTCCGAACAGATTAATTAAATTATTTCTTAATCGAGAATGTAGCGAGTTTATTCGAGCGAATCTCTAAACATCTGTTGTATGTATCGCGAATCGAATTAAAAAGGTGAGCCTACCTATAGGCAGGTGCACCAGCAAGTTGCTTCTCAGGTCTAGAGACCGGAGTCGCGCAAGGTCGCCCATTCGAGGTGGAAGACTTGTGATTTCGTTGCAACCTGCGTCCAGTTCTGCCAATGCTGTCATCCTGCCCATCTCGTCTGGCAGAGATGCTAGTCTGTTGTGTGCGACTAGCAACGTCTGAAGGGGTAGCCTGCATATCTCTCGAGGTAGCGACGTCAATTGGTTTCGACTGCGAATCATATTGTTTTCTTTAAATAAATTCACTAGAGCTACATATTCGTCGCAATTCGAATTTCTTTCAAACGGATCGATTATTACAGAAATGTCAATTACTTAATTTTAATAAATTCTTTTAATAATTATTATGAATAGTTTGTAGAATATCTCAGAATTTAATATTTTTTTAAATAAATACAGACTTATCAAAAATTGTTTGAAATACGTCTCTTTCACCAAAACTTCTTTAAATCAAAGAATTACTTAATAAATAATTATATAAAAGTATACTCAATAAATTATATAATTATGCGTACTTAATCAATTATTGTCGCAATAGCTTTTAAAGTATTTAAAAGTTTTAATTGTACTGCGTAGTATAGCGGGAACTTAAACGTTATCGGCGCTATTACGTCATATCTATAGACCGCCCACGATATTGTATCGCGCAGTCCAATGTGTGCATAACTATGTAGATACATATGTGTATATACAAACCTAAGATCGAGGTAGTTCAGGGATTGGAGCATGACGACGGTTTCCGGGATTATTCTTATGGCATTATGATAAAGATGCAGCTTTTCGAGGAATGGAAATTCCGTGACTTCCTCCGGTAACTCACTGAAACGGTTCTTCGAAAGGTCTGTAACAGAAAGCAGATACTCATCTTTATGATGTGCCAGCCAGACGATAAAGGCACGACGCGGTCGTCTCTTTCGCCGTTGAAAAGAAACGTAACGTTAAGAGGCGTCGCGTGATTTCAACAGGAAATTGGAACGCGTTATAAATACATAAATGGACAAGGAAAAGAAAATAGATCAGCGCGCCACAGAAAACTGATTTGCAATTAAGAGTCGCTCTTCACGTCAAAGCTCCGCATTCTCATTAAAACAGCCCATCGCGTCGCAAAAGCATCGTTCAGGCAATAAACGGCGTCCCTAACGATCGGCCGATAAAACTTGTTGGAGGAGGAGGAGGAGGAGGAGGAGCGCGGTGCTATCGAACTGTCTTAATAAGGTACCGATACGTCTCCCATGGCAACAGCTGTGTACCTCGGTTAGGGTGATCTTAGGGGGTGTTGCTGGGGGGCTGTTATGAATGGGGCGCGACGGCCACGTGCGTGCACAGGCTCGAAACGCAGGAAGAGGATAGCTCAGGGGGTATAGCTCAGCTGCTCCCGGCTTCGTACCTTCTTTCTGATCAATAACAGCCGTCCTCGAGTCTTGCGAAAACGTACGCGAAGGACGTCGCCGATTCGCAATGTCGAATAGCTCCGAAATAGCTATCGTTCTCTTATTGCAGATGGCACGTATGTGAAAACGTGTACGTCGCAAGGCGTGTTTAAAATTAGGCGTGTAGTCACAAGATGTTGCGAAATTGACATTTTACCCAGATTACTTGGTAAATATAAATGCAATTGTCTCTCTTTCTACATGATATTTAAAATTTTTACTACAAAGTACTTTAAATCTTTCCGCATTTTTAAAATATATTCTCCTAGGCACATATATTTTTAACATCAAGGATCAGAGTGAAGGGCGCGGTTACACTCCTGCATGTACTTGACATTTAAGCGTTGATCATAATAAGTTAAGGTCTTCTAATAGTCTTAAAATACAAAAGCCTTGATCGTACTTAATGAAAGATGTCAACAGAACAATTGAGATAATGTAACAGACAATGTTTTACGAAGACGTTTAGTAATGTTTGTGTTCTCTACGTATATTTCTTCTTTTCCCTGTGATAGTATACCAGCCAGATTAATTTACGGAAATTTTCCAAATATATCCGAGCCTGTAGGGAGAGAAAATTAGATTCCGGCGAAATTCGTCGAACTATCAACGGAAATTGGCAATCGTAGCGTGCGAAGGATACGCGATTTCCCTTGGTGGAATCGAGCAGAGTACGATTTTCGTCAATCGTCACCATTCTTTTTCAACAAAATAAATACAGAGCACATCTTCACATAAATATTTGTTTCAATTTGTGAATTTCAAATATCAATACAAGTAGCAATTTTGCATTTATATAAATTAAGATATTTAATAATTATAACCGAAAAATATGCCGGTTATATAAATCGACAGTACATCGATTTATTTTCAAAGTTTCTTTGTCTTGCAATTTTCTCTCTCTCTCGTCGGTATGTAATTACTGGAATCGTTAGATTGCAATAACTCAATCTTGCGAATCGCGCTCGTAATTCACCATACAACACATAAGATGTAATTCGTCTTTATTCGTCGAAAAATGTAGCAATTTACACGGTCACAACCCGAGGGTGTGTCTTGACGAGCGTAACTTCGTTAATCGATCTCGATTCTTACATGCTGCGCGAACTAAGCGTATTGAAACAGGAGCAATTCGAATGGGGAGAAACCGGAGGCGTAAATAGGGATGCGTAAATAGGGATGCCTACAACACTTTCACCTCATGGCAAACGCTTAGCTTTTATTAAAAATGCTGCTCGCATTTTTAATAAAATTTTAATAAAAAGTATTGACATAATGCAGTGCAATATCAAAATGTTGAACAATATTAAATAAATAAAATAATGGATAATTATTATATAAAAATGGATATCTAATGGGTTATTTCCATCTATTTTTGGGAATCTATTTATTCGATAGAGACTTTCCTGTCAATTATCACTCTGAAGAAACTGCACTGAAAAAAATTTCAGCACTAAAAAATATCTAAAAAAATTTACTAAATCAAATGTTATTCGTCTAATTTCATCTAAGTCTGGTCATTTTTAACAATAAGTCTTGTAGAATACGATAGAATACGGTCGATGTCCGTGGCGCAAGGGCGTCGGCCTGTCTGACGAAGACGGGGCTGAAACCCCTTGCCAACCCCATGAGCAGCTCCCACGCAATATTGGATTCTCTCTCAAGCACCGTCTCTTTGTGCAAAGTGGCAAAATTCTGCGGTGAACAATCGCGTCGTCGACATAATGTGTCGTGGGCCCTTCCGTTGTAGAATCCGTTTGAACAACGTATGGTGTGTCATCATAATTCATAGATTTGAAGGTGTATGTTCCTGATGGAAGGCTTTTCCTCTGGTTCTCCCTTTCGCGAGACATGAAATTGTATCGGTGAAAGCATGGGAGGCAATACCAAAGAGCGGCTCTCATTGAATATGTTCGTTAGTGTGTTAAAAGTCCATGGCAGAAAAATTCATGCTTCTATTGCATTTCGAGTAATAAATTGAAAAAATTTATTTACATTTTTTAAAAGTATTACCTATTATCAATTATATATTTTCTTTTCAATTATAAAATCTATATAATTATTGAGTTGAACGGAACGGTTCGTCTCGTTTTTTGCAGAGATAGAATCAATATCAATACAAAAAACGGAACGAACTTTCCGTTCAATTCACTATATTAATTATAAAATCTGTATATTATATTCAATATATTATTTTCATTTATAAAATATCAAATATATATTTAATTATAAAACTGTGCGATTTATGAACAAAATTATATGAACGTCCTTTTTCTGTAAAATAAAAAAAGGTCTTTTTCTTGCTATTTTATCTTTTGAAGTATTTAAATTACTTTCTTTATTTAACATATATGGTGGCGTTTAATAATGTAAAAACGAGATAATGCAATATTAATAGAAATTAAAATATATAAAAGAGATATATAAACTATATATAATCCAAAGCTGCTCTAATTAAAAAATGTCAATATAATTTTGCATTATGTATTGAATTATTGAGTTACATTACGAAGTAATATTAGGTATTCCATTTTTCTCGTACAATTTATGAAAGAGAGATTTTATCTTTCTATGTCGCGTTATCGATCAGCATAACGGAAGTTTAATAACGGAAATCATACTGATTTCAAATTTAGGAATGGCCGATAAAAATCGGCGGAACCGCGCGTGCGAAGGACTCTATAAATATATCTACTTCCGTTTCTAACGGTTCAGACGGACACGATAAATATCGTGGCCGGGCCCTTCGCGGTGGTCGTACAGGACGTTTCAGAAAGGGTCGATGCACCGAAACATTTCAAGGACCAAGGTCGAGGTCCTGTCGTCGAGGATCGATACGCAATTGCGTGACGCGCAGACAGTGACATTATTTGCTGATAAAGGGCGTGGCAGTTTTGCAAACACATTTTTGCCATTTCTAGATTTACCTTACTTAAGACAAACGCATTAGTAAATGATCAATTAAGAAATATTGTTAAACTATTTATCCTTTTCGCTAAATAAGAATGTTATTTTTATCATGCTTGAAACAATCAAAAGATCTATTTTTTTTTACAAATACTACTTTTATATATGTAACTGTAAAAGCTGCAAAACTGCGCTGTGCTCGTTCTTATCAAAATACAATTTGCAATATATTGAATTATTGATCGTCAATCAGTATATATTGTAATTTTTTAATAATATAATCCCGCACAAATACTTATAGTTGACAGGAACTTCGTACAACACAAATTTTGAACACTCGATTCATGATGTTCGTAGATGAGAATCGTAGATTGTTAAGAAAGAAAAAATTTTATTAAGATAGTGAGATTTACGCACTTAGAGATAGACGCAACTTGCAAAGATGATAGAAAGATTTGTTTATCCGGTGGACCCCACGCGAAAAAAGGATAAAGCTTTAATGGAAAGCGAAACGTCGGTTTCGCAATTTCTACATTAATTTCCACGTGCTGCAGCACACGAGGCCATCAGTCGGGATAAAAGTCTGGCTGGGCGAGACAGTCGCTCTTTGACGCTTGTCTGGCGCGGCGCGGCTCTACCCACCGTTTCTTTCTCTCGTTCAGGTTTCCATCTATGTAAGTGCACGACCAGTGAGAGACGTGCGCTCTCGTAACAGGTATAGCCTTGAAGGCCGTGAGCTCGGTCATTTCCTCGAATCTTAACTGGCTGGCAGTGTCGCGGTGCAACGAATAAATGGTCACTTGTAGAATGAAAAAAATCCGAAGGAATTCCGTGTCAAAATTAACAAGGAACAAAGAAGATATACCTTTATTCCTTTGAATTTCACGGGATAAAATTGAAAATATTATTATCCAATTAGTTAATGCTGTGAATTATACGTCATATTATCTCTTTAAAAATTATGTTGCAACAAAATGAGAGAAGATACATGGGAAAAAAATGATATTGTCGCATTAAATTTCATTGGAAATAATTTTGTTTATTCTATAACAATATTAATAAAATAAATACTTTCTTTATTAAAACAAGAGCAAAACGTATTTGAATTAACAATATTATTTCCAATTAGTTAATGCTGTTAATACATCATTTTTTCTCATGTGTGTGAGATACAAATGTTATAATAAATGTTATCTCTCCCCAACTCATAGAAAATATTACAGTAACAAGATTTAATCGTATTTTTTCCAGGCAACGCAGAATTAATTATATACTTTTGAACAAACGAGCTTTTTATAATTGAATTACAGTTACACTGATAAAACTACTCAAGTTTAATCGTAGTATAGGATAGATGTGTGTACATGAAATGCGAAATTCAATTACAAATATGAATCCAGATAGCGATTAGGATGGAATACGTGATATAGACCGCGTATATTTCCCTGGGGCGAGACAGACTGCTCAACGGCGTTACTGAATGGATAGAGAAGTTTGTTTAGGC